TTTTACAACTCACCATTTCCTGAATTTTCCTTTGATAACTAATTTTGAAGATTAGAATAAAACCTGACCTTGTTATTTGATAGCTTCCAAGAGACTAAAAAATAGTTTTAAATAGTTGACGGTGGTTTTTCTTATATGTATTAAATGGATTTGTCTGTATATATAATTTTTCCAATGCCTCGAGAAAGTGCTGAATGCTGTATGTTGATTTGTAGTGTAAAGTCTTTTCGTTGGTACAATTCATACATATTAAGGTTTTATTTATTTATTTTTTATTTTATGTGAATGAGTGTATAGCCTGCATTTATGTGAGTGCACCTATGTTGTGCAGTGTTGCAGAGGTCAGAAGAGGGCTTTGGATTCCCCTGGAACTGCAGTTAAGGATGGATGTAGCCGCCATGTGGGTGCTGGGAATTGAACCCAGGTCCTCTGCAAGAGCAGTCAGTATTCTTAACCACTGAGCCCATCTCTCCAGTCCCCATGTTATGTTTTTTAAAAAATAAGAAATCTTGGGAGGATAAGCTGTCTCAGTTGGGTAACTGCCAAGCCTGATGATTTGCGTTCAATCCCTGAGACTCACATAGGAGAGAGTGGATTCCCTCAAGTTGTCACCTGACCTCCACATATGTGCCATGGCAGATGCACCCCATACAATAAATAAATGTAATGAAAAAAGTTTAAGTAATAAATATTAAAGCTGCTGCTTTTTTTCTTTCTTAAAGAGGAGATCTGGATAAGCAAGGCGATATTCGTGGCTTTCTACCCAAAGACAGCAGAAGACCTAGGAGTTTAGTCGCAGTTGAGCCTTGTAATTGCTAGCAGCTGTGGTGCAGGGTTAGCTGTAAACTTTGCTTGCTTGCTGGGTCAGAGTAATGGTGATGGTAGCGCCTCCTTGCTGATAAGGCAGGCAGTGCTGAAGCACTTGAAATGTTTCTCATGTACAAAAAATGCCCTATGTTTTTTTCATTATTTTTCTCCCAAAACAGGCACCACTTAACATTATATACTTTTGATCATTTTGTATGTGATAAATTAAAATTTTTTCTTTACTGTAGTTTTTACCAGCCAAACAATAGTATTTTAATTCTCTGCATAGCCTCTGCTTGCTTTTCAAATGACAAGCCCAGTGGGGTTATACCTATAATCCCAGCTCTTAGGAGGCAGAGGCTGAAGGATTGCTGTAAGTTTGCAAGTTCAAGGCCAGTCTGGTCTCAGAGTAAGACTCTTAACCTCACAAACACACACATACACACACACACACACACACACACACAAAACCCAAACAAAAAATAAAATGACAACTAGTATAGTTGTTAGGTTGTTAGTATACAGTTTATGTTTTCTGAGTATTACTTTCTTTTACATAGTGATACTGAGAGTAAGAAGGTAAAATTCTGTGCCGCCCCCCCCCCCCAGGAGAAGTGACTTAACAGTTTGGTGTTTGTACTCTAAGCATTTTCTCAAGATGGAAAACTTTCCTTGGAAGTCTATATGTATCCATAAAACATGCTGTTTAATCCAGTACTATAATTTAGCTCTTTTATTTTTGCAGTGTTTGGGGCTAGAAGCCAGGGCTTTGTACATGGAAGACAAATATTTATAACCCCAGTCACACTTAAGAGTTGTCTCCAAATTTTTGCCTCTGTCTATAATGAGTATTAAGTAATTGTTCTTTGTACTTATACTTTGTGTGTCCGTGTGTGTGTGCTGCACGTGCAAATGTTTGTTATATTCCTAGGAGTGGGATTGTTCAAACCCAGTTCATTTAAAATTTTAATGTTTGTGGGGCTGGAGAGATGGCTCAACAGGTAAGAACACTGACTGTCCTTGCAGAAGACCCAGGTTTGAATCCCAGCACCCACATGGCAGCTAACAACTGTCCATAACTCCAGTTCCAGGGGATCCGACAGCCTCTTCTGTCCTCCATGGGCATTGCATGACACGGGTGCACTTACTTACATGCAGGCATAACACTCATACACATAAAAATAATAAAATATTTTGAAAGAATTTAATGTTTGATAGGGCTGGAGAGATGGCTCAACAGTTAAGAACACTGAATGTTCTTTCAGAAGACCCGGGTTCGAATCCCAGCACCCACATGGCAGCTAACAACTGTCTATAACTCTAGTTCCAGGGTATCTGACAGCCTCTTCTGTCCTCCGTGGGCATTGTGGGCATTGCACAACATGGGTGCTCTTACCTACATGCAGTCAATACACATAAAAATGTAAAAATAATAAATTTTAAAAAATTTAATGTTTGTAACTCATATTTTTTTCTTAAAAACTTAAAAGAAATAGACATCCTTCCAACAACATATGAAAATAAACATTTCCCTACTGGCTAACATGAATATTTCTGTGCTTTGCAATCTGATGATGGTATATCATTGCTCTAATGTTCATTTTCCTAATGAAGGGATTGCATATAGTAGGTATATCCCAAATGTATGTCCTATGTATGTGTGTGCATGTGAATATATATATATATATACATGATTCTTTATTACATATGTTGAGATATGCTCCCAGACTATCATTCATATTTTATGTTTTGTTTATAAAATTTTTTGTAAGGCAGGAATTTTCTATTTTAAAATCATGCTTTTTTTTTGTCTTTCTGTGTAACTTTTGGATTTTGTGCCTTATTGTAGAGCAGCCTTTTCTATCTCAAGATTATAAACAATTTATCCCATATTTCCTAATATGTTTTTAGTTTAAAGACATGTTTGGCTCCTTAACTCAGTTTGAAGTTATAAATAAAGTATGACTGTTCCCTTTCCCCAACATGAATGCACAGCTATCCTCAGTATTATTTATTGAATAGTGTATCTATTTCCTCCTTGATTTAACATTTTTATTGTTTCAAATTCTCACAGATATATCTTCTTTTGTTCATTACTATTATTCCCTATCCTGTCATCATATTTAGTAATTCTTCTTCCTCTTCCTCCTCCTCCTCCTCTTCCTCTTCTTCCTTCTTGCCCCCTTTTCTCCCTGTAACCCTTAGATGGCCTGGAACTTGCTATGTAGACCAGGATGGCCTCCCGCCTACCTCTGCCTGTGCTCGGACTAAAGGTGTGCACCACCACATCCTGCTATATGTAATTCTTTTAAAATTACATGTTTAACAGACATACTTTGAGGCCTATCATAATTTGGTCAGAGGGACATAAAGGACAGTTTTTGCTCCTTGCCTTCCTAGGTCAACTAGTTCCAGGGGACTATGAGCATCTCTCAAAATGTCCTGTAATTGTGGTGGGTCACCTGTCCTCTTGATCATGGAGGACGAGGAGACCCCACGAGATGAATTTGAACCAGTGTCCAGTCCACAAAGAGGAGGGTCAACACAGAGGAATCATTTCCTCCATGCTTCCAAGCGAAGCCAGCCATGGTCGAGTAGGACCTTTGACTTATCTTCATATAGGTGGAACTGGTAAAAGAAAGGAGCCTGGGGCTCCTCCCAAGTCTATGTGACCCCTGAGGAACAGATCTTCAAACAACCTTAAGAGTAAAAATAAATTGGTTTATCTGGGCCAACTGTATGACCTTAAACACCCAAAAGGAAAGTAGAACCAAAGATTAAAGGGGCCGATATAATTTTTTAAGAGTCCATATGTATAGCTAAAGGCTACATAACAAGCAACAATGCCAGATAAAAGGTACCTTCTTTTGAGTTGTTGGCCAGGCTGGCCAAAGGGACGCCCAGTTAGTAACCCAGCATAGAACTGGAAAAATGAACAGCAGACCCCAATCTTATCTAAAGGACTATTGACAACTGATTGCTGCTAGAAGAGGAAGAGCTGACCCTCCTAAAACAAAGACCTCTAGGTAGGCTGAGTAGATTCACCAGAAGGGCAAGTAGTGGGGAATGGCTGGGGGTCCTGACAATATAGCAGACAGTAGCAGGGATATCAGAATATAAGGCTGTAGTTGGGGGAGGGAGGCTCTGGGAAGGTGCCATCTGGGAAGTGGGTGTATAGTTGAATAAGAT